AGAGAGAGAGAGAGAGAGAGAGAGAGAGAGAGGGAAAATTACTTTACACGTAAAAGTTTAAGTATTGTTGATATTATTCTTGCCTTTGTAGTTGTAGCTAATACCACTATTTTCCCTGTAGGCATTCCACTAACATGTATTATTATGTGTATTACTCTCCTTGCTATCATTCCCCTTGGGCTAAATGTGTTTTAAGGAATGCATTTATACTGTTGTAGTTTCTTGGACAAACTTTACAAGTTAAATATATATCTCTTTTCGTCTTTCAGTTCGATTGAAGAGAAATGCTCTTAGAAATTTGATTAGGTTTGACGGAAGTAAAGTGATATAATAATTTCATCAACTCTTTTTCTGTTTCCCTCCTCCAGGTCAGTTTTTGTAATTTGAGGAATCGTCGTCTCTGGTGGCCAGCCGTCTACGGGAAACAACTGAAGGAAACTAAGAAACTGTTTAGTCTACATGTGTTTCCTTTTTTTCTTCAATTCCTATTTTGCCGCCACACTGCAGTGTCACCAAACACAACCCTGGAGATTTCTCACAGTGACCCCACAAAGACATAACAATGGTGACCTTTTACGAAGTGTGTATCTGTTGCTCTGCGGTTTGGCTTTTCTTTAATCATGGTAAACATTTTATCAAAAGCTATCAGCTCTCCTGCAAGCGAAACATGCCATCTGGCTAAGCAGAAAACGAAATTTTGAAAAGATACGAATATATTATACAAACAATCTTAAAGAGAAAATTACTCAGAGCAATAACTCAATCAAATTTGAAACGAAAGGAAAGTGAAAAAGAAACAATCTTCTGGTGGAGAATTTGAAAGAAACGAGACGCAAAAATTCGAGTCTGCTTGCTTGCCTCTTCTTTGGCACTGAGATCTGAACGCAACACGGCGAGAGATCTGCGCCAAGACATTTTTTAACGGTCTCCGCTCAGGCACGAGCGAACGTTACCTCTGATTCACGACTGCCAAGGTTAGAGCTGATGTCATTCGCGCACATTTGTGACACTCGTTGACTCAAACTGGTGTCAGCCCTTCACCTTACCTGAACTGATTCCAGATTATAACTTGATAGTTACTAAAACTCCCATTCGCCGATTCAAGGAACGTATTTATTGTGCCGCATTGCTTGTGAGTATTTCGCTCTTTTGAAATGTGAACCAGAGACTTTCAGAACAGCGCAGAGATTAATTAAGCAAATCAAAAAGCGCTCTTGTTTAGAATTTTGCTCTGAAGGAGAAATAAAAATGATTTCTTTGGAACAAAAGTGGATGAAATCAGTTAACCGCAAATATTATGAGAGCGACCGCTTGAAGTGTTGGAGCGTGTGTTAATTAACTTGATATCAGTTTCTGCGCTACGTCTGTAAGAGTAATACTTGGATTAAGATTAATGATTCAAGGATTTACATTGGCCATTACTAGCGCGTGTATTCACCGCAAATGAGCGAATGAGAGGTGTGTATACGCCATGCCATTCACCTTCTTTTGGCGACCTCTGAGTCTGATGTACGTCACAATTATATAAAATCTATTATTAAAACGACGTTCTCTCGTCTACGTTGTCGGGAATTTCTGAACTTTACCAAAAAGAAAATAAAACGTTTTGAGAATTCATATTTTGTGAAATGCAGATTCAATACAGGAACACCCAACCAGCACCGTTGGCGTGTTATCATAGAGTCATTTGTATTCACAAAATAATAGATGTTGCAGTAGTCATTTTTAAATGTTTTACATCGCTTGTGTGAGAGTGAGGGGTAAAGAATTCGTCCACGCGGATTTTTAAGTGAGTGGCATTAATTGATTGTTCTGGGGATTTGTTATTGGAGAAAAAAAATCAATTTCTTGTGAAGGAAGTGAAGGAAACCATAAGTTAGTATACCGCTGTACAATTTACCACGCACTTCCGTCCACGGAATTACTGTTCGTGTGTGACGTCACTGGTTGGTGTGTACCTCGTCGAGGCTGGGAAATTTGTCGTCTGCTCACCACTGGTGTCAATGGGATATGTAAAGGGGAAGCACGACTCTCACAGTAAGTACACATTTATTTATTTTATTTACTATTTACCTACTTTCAGTTTTGTATAATAATAGATATATTATGTAATAGATAGCATTTCGCTGCCTCAGAATTACAAACTTCTATCTGCAAAGTTCCTAGTTTTGAAAAATTTGATTTTGATTTTTTCATCATGTCAAGCTTTTTCCGAATGTAATTCTTTGAATATCTTGATCATATCTCCTAATAATCTCACAAGTTTGATAGAGCAGGTTGAATAATATTTGTTTTCTGACCTCGTGGCCTCAGTAACTCAAAACGACCCAAAATGTCAGATAGAACTTTGTAATTCTGAGGTAGCGATTTATATAGTGAAAACTCCCGCTCAACAGCAAGCTCTATGTGCTTTATAATCTATGTTATTACCTTGGCAGACTTTAAAGCATTTTGAAATAATCTCAACTTCCTGCAAAGCATACAGTGCAAGCGACCATTTTTACAGACGCTAAAACAATAACGTACTATAAAATGGTTTGTCTAAAATAACCCATTTCTCACTTTCCCCTAATCTCTATTTTCTTAGAAAAGGATGACAGAAGAAACAGCATTATCATTCTCTGGAGACAACTACTACATTCTGTTGATAATTTTACGGTTAATATCTGCATGGGAGGCTAGTTGTTTAGCTTTATTTCTTTTTCCTGGTTGAGTTAAGTGTATGTGTGTATGCATGTGTGTATGCGTGTGTATGTGTGTGTGTGTGTGTGTGTGTGTGTGTGTGTGCGTGTGTGTGTGTATGTATGTGTGTGTGCGTGTGTGTGTGTATGTGTGTGTGCGTGTGTGTGTGTTTATGTAGTTTCGTTTCGGGGTGGGGGGGGGGGGTGTCAAAGATTCACCCATCTTTGAAAGGTCCTAAATGATTGACCCAATATTATATTTCAAATTATTACTCACTTTATTATTATACATTATATGAATGTATATGCACTTTTTTCAACAGGTCCTAGTTACACCTTTTATTACGAATCGTTTCCTCCTTCCTAATCGCCACCATAACACTTCTTCCCCCTGACACCATTGTAATCATCGTAGACATTTATAGCATTGTTATCATCCACTATGTATTTCACTTCACATTACGTTTTATATCCTTTATGTAATGAATAAATATTAGGTTAATAACAACTATTAATAATATAATTTCAATAAAACAATTGTTGAACAATGCCTTTACTAAGTCTGTTTCCAAACAGACACACTTTGTATATATAATATCATCATATTATGTTCACCTTGTAGTGCAGGATCATGTTATCTCTTTATTGTTCAATCATGACGACATACTCGTATTATGACCCGTTAGTTGTTCTTCTTACTCAAACAGAGAAACTTCAGGTAGTTTGTTTAATTGTTTGTGTGTTTGTTTGTTTGTCTTTTATATTCAATTTAAAAAATCATTATTAATGTGATTTTTTAAAAATAAAGGTACTATTCAAAAATCATCTTAATAAGGAAACTTCACTTCACCAGGGCTCACTCTCCAAACAAGAAACAAAACTAAACTAAAAACCACAAAACATTGAGCTCGGTAGCCTAGCGCATTTTTTCAGCTACTGCCATCGGTACCGATAAGAATAATTATATTGTTTGTTTTGTTTCCTACCAGAGTTTTTTAAGACATTAATTTTTTCCTTCAGCACTTGCAAACTCCCATTTTTACTGACTAGTATAGTATGCATTTTTTTGTTTTGTTGTTTTGGGAAGATGGTTTTTTTAAAAATCTAAATTAAATCTCTTTTCGTTTACACGTCTCTGATATTGCACGTGCACGTGTTACTAATGACCAATAAATGTGTAAACATTAAACAAGTCCAACCGCCCCACAAATGGTGGTCATTCAAGCACTTTCTATAATTAGGGTCTATGCCTTGTTGGTGGTGATAGTTTCGGGAATGTGTGCTTTTTTAGTTTATTTTGTTTTTGTTTTCTTTTTTGTTTTGTTTCTAGATATTTTTTCTCGAAACCGTTGACTGTTCTATCTAAATTATAATATGGTCAACCAGTTTTCTGAATAAATTCAAGACATTGTCGACCGCTGTTTTAATTGATTTTCCTTTCCGTTAGCTTTAATAAGTCTTCAGTTTTCAATGAATGCATAAAAGAGAAACTCAAATTGTATTAGAGTAGAACCACATCATGCACTCCTCCACCACACCAGGCGTTGAGATGATGGGAGCGGGTGGTTGGAGGGCGCCACTGCTAGGATAACACAAAATATCATAATGTTAAAATCCTACTCTTCTGAGTGTTTTTATTCTAAAATCTTACTCTTCTGAATGTTTTTATTCTATAATCTTATTCTTCTGTATGTTCTATGTTATAATCTTACTCATGTGTCTGCTTTATGTTATAATCTTACCCTGTCCTTCACTTATGATGCTGAAAGGAAGGGCAAAGTAGAGAGGTCATTTTTGCAGTAACTGGCCTATTGCGCTCCCATTGCTTGAGTAACTTGTACTTAACGGGAACTTGCTAGAGGAGAGGAGAGAGGAGGGGGAGGGGGAGGTCTGGAAGAGAGGGAGAGAGGGGGAGAGGGGGAAGGGAGAGGAGCGG